GCCGTCCCTAACCAGCGCGCGGGGCGAGGTGGACTTCGCGGTCCTGCCTCGTTTTTCTCCTTCACGGGAGAGAACCCGCCGCATTTTCTGTCTACCTTGAAAAAATTAGAGTGCTAAAGGCAGGCTAAAACCCCGAGCCTGAATATTTCGTGCATGGAATAAGCGGGGATGCTCTTTTCCGGAGGGCGGTCCGACCGACTGGCGACGTCGCTTTCGCTGTCGGTTTCGCCGGAGAGCTAGGATTCGAGAGGAACGGTGGGGGGCGAGCGTACCGGGCGGGGAGAGGTGAAATTTTGTGATCCGCTCGGGACGACTCGAAGCGAAAGCGCTGGCCCCGGACGTCTTCCTTAATCCAGAACGAAGGTGGGTGGAGCAAAGACGATCAGATACCGTCGTAGTACCGACGGTAAACGCTGCCGACCGGGCCGCGGACGAGGCTCGAGAACAGCGGTTATGGACCCGTCCGTGGCGGCTTCGGGCAACNTGAGAGTTTACGGGTTCCGGGGGTAGTATGGTCGCAAGGCTGAAACTTGAAGGAATTGACGGAAGGGCACCACAAGGAGTGGAGCCTGCGGCTTAATTTGACTCAACACGGGGCAACTTACCCGGTCCGGACATCGTCAGGATTGACAGACGCTCGTGCAGTTCTTTCTCGATTCGATGGGTGGTGGTGCATGGCCGTTCGTGGCTGGTGAAGTGAAAAGTCTGGTTTATTCCGCTAACGGGCGAGGCCTCGCCCTTAACTAGTCGGCTCGTGGTTCTCGAATCGTAGTCTCCCTTCGGGGAGCAGGGAGAACATCGGGCGAGTCGCAGCGATCGTCGCTACTTCTTAGGGGGATCCCGAGCAAGCTTAAGCTAGGTGAGAGAGATCAATAACAGGTCAGTGATGCCCTTAGATGTCCGGGGCCGCACGCGCGCTACACTGAAGACGAAAGCGCGAGTGCCTACGGTCTTGGTTTGGTCAGGCCGGGAACCCGCCCCGAGAGGGGAGGTTGGGGCTGTTCCTTCACGGGGGCAGTCTCGCCTACTGCGGGTTAACCGTGCCAATCGTCTTCGTGCTGGGGATCGGGGCTTGCAACTCAGCCCCGTGAACGAGGAATTCCGAGTAGGCGTCCGTCATCAGCTGGCGCCGATTAAGTCCCTGCCTTTTGTACACACCGCCCGTCGCTACCTCCGATAGAATGGCTAAGCGAGGCCGTTGGACTGGGCCTGCTTTCGAGTGGGCCCGGAAAGGCGTTCGAGCTTAATCATTTAGAGGAAGTAAAAGTCGTAACAAGGTTTC